TTTAGGCGAGGGGGACGGAGAGAACAACTGAAGTATAACTCCATCAGGACCGGGGAATCCTGGGCCTTGTAGTTCCGCTGGGGAGGGGGACCGAGGAGGGGAGGCTTCTCTTGTGCAACCAGCTTCCACTTTAGGGGTGGGGAAGGGGAGAAAGAGTACTGAACAAACCAGCAGTATTCCCCAGGGCTCTCGGATGCTTTGAGCTGAATCTGAATCTGATGTTGTCCGAGTTTGATATCCGAACTACTTTATGGACAATAACACCAGAATATTTCTCTCGGTCGCTGCACCGAATAACTTTGTAACTTTGTAATCTAGAATTATTGGCTGAAGTCTAGATTACTCTTGATCGAGGCCCTCCCCTGTCGATAAGGAGGACTTTGTCTTAGAACTCAGGATGAAAGAGCTCCCGATCCGAACATAGATTTGTGAGCCGCTCAGTCTGTAGAGGTTGCAATTTCTTTAGACGTCATATCCGGAAGAGGATATAATGAATTCATTCTTATACTGAATAAGAACTGTAATCTTTGTAATCTTTTTTCCTACCCACAAACTTTCAGTATTCCAGTTTTCCAAAGCTAGTTCCATTCCACTAAGGCAGGCTGATAAATGTACATCGAAGGACCCAAATCTCAAAACTTTCAGTGAGACTCAGGGAGTCTAAAGTTAGTGTCCAATTGCAATAGTCGGACTGGTAGAAAGAGATTCTATTAAATTAAAAAGATTCGATTACATTTTTCGGGACCTACTACATTCCCTCTGTGTAATGGTTAATTTAACAAATTAAACTATGAAGTATGCAAGAGTATCAGTAAATACCATTAATGATTTAACTAATTAGCCACCCAGAGGTGTCCTATTAGTAAGATGGGTGGCATAAAAAATCAATAAAATAAAATTGCATTCATTTAATCTCTTTGGCATTTGCCCTAGTCCCGCTTCTCCCTTCTTGGCCTCGAACGATGCGCTGCGGTGAGGCGCCATGAAGGATGAGAAGAAGCCTTTGATGTGACAGGTGCGCTCACCGGAGGCCCAATCTTTGGACCCAGAGGTATTGGGCAACCTTTCCCTCAGAGGAGCAGGGCTGTGCGGGATGGGAGACCCTATTGATTGGGATATCGAACAAAAGGAGTCAGAATACACCAAAGGTCTCTGTTCCAATTAGGAAACTCACGTAATTAAGCACCCACCTTTGTGGATCCGCTCGGCAGATTTCCATAACTTCCGGCTACCTTCCAAATCCTTTATGCTGCAGGTCCGTCGTGAGCGGCGTCCCAGCCCCTTAAGCAGCGACAGAACGAAGAGAAGGAACTCAAGGTCAGCTCCGGCCGGCTTTTCCACAAGCGGGGGGCTTTAGGTGCAGTGGTTTTCCCCGCCAGAGGACTAAGCCCCGGGCCGCCTGACCTATTCCAGCAGACCGCTTTTGATCTCGTCCAGCCGGAGCCTACGGCGATGGCTTCTGCAGCTGGTGGCCTAGCTCGAGCCGCCCTTCCCTGGAGCAGGTAGGGCTGTGTTGACATAGGTGCGCAAGCTTGGGGAAGGGAGAACCCGGGAGCGGGAGGGGGGGATGCCACGGAGCTGCAGCCCCTCCCCCGATTCGCTCATTTGGGTGGCTGAAAACTGAGCTCCGGAGGCCAGCGTCCCGGAGGAGAAGGAAATGCAGCTGGACGTTTCCTTGTCTGGTAGGGAATAGCTTTAAGATCAGCCCCCTCTCATCTCCCTAAATCGCGCCTCCTCCAGTCTTGGCAAACTACTATATTCACCATCCCAACGGCTGAGTGAGGGAAGCGGTGGGCTCCGATCATAGGTCCACACGGTTACACAGCAGAGACGTATGCATTTGGACTACACGTGAACTTCACGTCTTAATTTAACGCTTTTTTTAAAAAAAAACACCCCTTCTATTTGCATCCAGCAGCTCAGAGTCTTAATGAGCCGCCTCATTAACTGGCGCTCGCTTCGATTCTGCAAGCTGCGCCCCAGAACCAGTTGCGGAATCCTCAAGCCTTAAGACGTGGGCATTATCTGTCCTTGTCATCTGACCCGTATTTAGAAATAGGCCGAGTTCATACAAGTCCACCATGGGTCTAGCCCAGGAATGGCAACGTTGGATCTTTTATGACTCGTGGGCTTCAACTCCCAGAATTCCTGAGCCAGCATAGCTGGCTCAGGAATTCTGGGAGTTGAAGTCCACGAGTCATAAAAGAGCCAACGTTGCCTAGTCCTGGTCTAGCCAAACTTAGCACATCCTGCGAATACTATGACCGCTAGGCATCCTTTGACCGAATTAAGTGTAGTCTCGGAGGAACTGAACGTGAAATATTTATGGGAAAGGAGTTTCAACTATCACGAAGTTTAGGAACTACAACGCGCCTCCTACCCCCAGGCCACCCAGGCCAACGAGGCGAAGATTTCACGGCTGGGCGGGAAAAGATCGCTAAGCCTTCCAGCCGCCGCTCCGGCAGCAGCGCTCCAGGGCTTTCCTACCCGGCCGTTCTTGTTCCTGTCTCTGCCCCGCCGCTTGCCCGAAGATCACTTGCTCTCCTTTGCTTGCCCAAGACATTTTGGGCAGCTGGACCGAAAGCCCTCGGCTTCCTGTCCCGCAGATGCATCAGCCGAAGCAGGATCTGGCGAGGATCTTCTATTAGCAGGGGAGCACGAAGTCCACAAGTCTTAAAGTTGCCAAGGTTGAGAACCCCTGGTCTAAGAGCACCCGAGAACCGGGAACTCTTCCAGGCTTGTCATCACGAAATCCCGTGAGGTCACATGGAACCAAAAAGGGATGAAATCATTTGAGCTCGGAGACGAATTAAGGAGCCAGAATGAGCTGTCAGATGGGAATGCTTGCGCGCCAGAAGACCGAGACCTGGCCTGGCTTTGCTTAACTTTTAACCCTGGTTTAAGGAAATTTTGCAACTGCAAAGGTGGAGGCGGCTACCTAAAACGCGAATGGCGCCCGGGGCCAGGGCGATGCACTTGAGGGCCGGTTGATTTTGAACAGAAAAGGCGGTTCCCTGGAGGCAAGTTCACAGAATAGCGCGACTGTGGGTTGCCTTAGTCGGCCCTTTTGAATCTGAAGTCAATTGAGGGGATTTGCGTAGCCAGAGTTACCTTTCAATAACCCGCATAAATATCAGACTACAAGCAAGGAAGCGACCTTATGTGTCCTTAAGAAGAAGCCCCGCTACGTAACGAGGGATTTACTGGAGTATGAACTAGGACTGTTTGGGGGTCGGGTATTGTGTGAAGAGAGAGGTGAGCGTGTCTGGTAGCCTCTAATTCAGGGGTTCTCAACCTTGGCAACTTTAAGACTTGTGGACTTCAACTCCCAGAATTCCTCAGCCAGCAAAGCTGGCTGAGGAATTCTGGGAGTTGAAGTCCACAAGTCTCAAAGTTGCCAAGGTTGAGAACCCCTGCTCTAATTAGAAGGAGCCTGAAAGAAGCATTTCGGTTTTATTACAGAGGATAAACTAGGAATCGCAGAGCCCAGAAGAAAAGGAAACGCCAGCTGGCTGCTGTTTTGCGAAAGGCCCTTGTGCATAACTGAACTGCCACTGAGGAAGGGCCCCCTGCATCTTGTTTCACTTTCTCTCCTTCCCCCTCCCTCCCCCCCAACCTCCCCCCGGGCAACCGCTCCCCGGATTACGCGATGCGAACCCACCGTTCAGCTCAGCAATTCTCTTAGTGGGCACAGTGGACGCTCGTCACCCAGCCTAAGACCGTGTGCCATTTGTCAGTCATGAACGTGCCCCAAGGCCCCTTGTTGTTGTTGTTGTTGTTTTCTGAAACAGATTAACGCCGCTGAGACTCTGGCAACCGCAAAGAAGCGAGAGCGATTTGCCCACCGAGAGAGAAGAACCGCTTGTTTTCTTAGGAGGATCCCCACGTGACCGGGGCTAAAGCGTCCCGGGATTTTGGCAAGTGCTGCCTGCTAAATGTCTTATCATTACACACTAATGACCCCCGACGCCCCCTCCCTCTTCTCTTAATTGCCTGGGCCTCTGGGAAGCTTCTATAAAAGTTCCTTAAAGTTTGCCGGACGAGAAATTGCACACTGGGGGGCGGAGGGGGCACCAGCAGCTGGAACACATCGGTAACGGTGCAAATCCAGAATTCTCGCCTTTTCACAGAGCTGCCTCTTGGCAAACTGCGACGGCGCAAGAAACTGAGAGCAGACGAGAGGCTGCAGGAGAAGCTTTGGGGTTGCAAACGACTTGTCTTGGGGCTGAAGAACCGGGCAGCCCTGCCACTTCCCCCTATTCGGGAAGTGAGTCCCCCTGTCCTGCCTGCTCATACTCTGAAAGTCATTCTAAGGCCGAGCAAGTCGGAAGGAAAGTTCTCGGAAGTCCGCTTTGGCTGTGGTTCGGATTTTGCACATCAGCCTCTGTTCAACGACAACTGCGAGCAGAGCTTCCAGAGCTTCGCTTCAGTCGTCCGCTATCCTTAACATTTCGTTCGGCTCCGGAAAGAACCAAAACGTATTTTTTTTCCTGCTTGGAAAATTGCTAAATGGATACAGTAATAGAAAGTTAAACGCGACGTCTATAACCTCTATATTAGTCGGGGTAGTAGTTGTGTCTTTTTTATAGAAAGATACAGTTCGGTTACTAATCAATAGTAATAGAAGGAAAAGAGAAAAAAAACATTGCGGCTATTTGCTATGGATTAATCTTATATGGATAAACTTCGATTTCCTTTATTTTTAAAGGGCCGAGGCTTGGTTTTTTTTCCAGGCCGTCCACCAGCTTCTTCCTAAGAGTCCCTTTTACTGCAGAGTAGTGTCGCCGGACCCCAAGGAGGACTTTTCGGCTCCTCTTCGGGTCTCCTGGCTTTGGGGGGGGGGGGAGGTGGAGAGACTCGCAGCAGCAACTCCGCGTCGGGTTGCCCGCAGTGCGGCCTCGCCTCCTGGTTGCGCTTTTTTGTTTTTCTTGCTGCTGCTGTTGCTGTGATCTTTAAAGTGTTACTAATTGCACCTCCTGGATCCGCGCCTTGGAAAAAGGCAGCGGCCAATCCGCGCCAGAGGAGCGCAGGGCCCCTTGAGAGAGAAGGGGGGGCGAGGGACTCCCCCGAGCAGGGGTCGTGACAGGGCTGCGCGGGCGGGCTGTCCGGGATATAAAGAGCCGGGAAACGCTCGGCCGGTTCCAGAGCGCCGATGCCCCACAGCCTCCTCCCAGCCCAGCGGCGAGGATGGAAGAGATGATGGACGGCTGTCCGTTTTCGCCCCCCTCGGCCGGCTTCTTCTACGCTAGCTCTCCCTACGCCCCTTCTTGCCCCGAGGAGGAGGAGGAGGAGGAGGATTTCGGCCAGAGGGTGGCCCCCGCCTCCTTCCGAGACCCCCCGGCGGAGCCTCCCCGGGTCTCGGACGGCGAACAACACGTCCGCGCCCCAACGGGCCACTCGCAGGGCGGCCCCTGCCTGCTCTGGGCTTGCAAAGCCTGCAAGAAGGCGGCGAGCCCGGGGGACCGGCGCAAGGCGGCCACTCTGCGGGAAAGGCGGCGGCTGAAGAAGGTCAACCAGGCTTTCGAGGCGCTCAAGCGCTGCACCTCGGCCGGCGGCGCCGGCCAGCGGCTGCCCAAAGTGGAGATCCTGCGCAACGCCATCAGCTACATCGAGAGCCTGCAGGAGCTGCTGCGGGAGCAGGTCCAGCACTTTTACGGGCTGCCCGCGCCCGGCTGCTCCGAGCCCCCCAGTCCCAACTCCTGCTGCTCCGATGGCCTGGTAAGGAAGGCCTGCCTCGCCCCGGGGAAGGGACGGTCTGAATCCCGCCCTTCCGGACCGAGGGCAGGGAAGGGCTAACTGGGCCGGAGGGGGATCCGGGAGAACCCCGGGCTGTTCGTTGCAGCCTCCCCCTCCTCCTGCTTCGTTCTTTTTAAATAGCTGTGGTTATTTTCCGTACCAGCCTGGGACTCGTTCTCAATCGCGGGGTTTTAGCGAAGCTTTTCACGGATTGAGGCAGGTTTTGAAATTCCCAAGACGCAGCGCAGGGCTGATAGGTCGATGCCTGAGCCCAGAGGAAGACTTTGCTGAATATGGAAGCAGTTGGGCATCTTTGGGGGTGCAAGGATGGGGATGGCTCCTATGGCAGCTTCCCCCGGGAAGCCAGGTCCTTTCCTGAGCCTAGTGGAAATCGGTGGTGCTGAGCTGCTTTTGGGCAGTGCTCATTTCACGGGGTATGTAAAACTTTAGTGGGTAGCCTATAATTTTGACTTGAGAGGGAGTACTTCTAGTTAGTAAAGAATAAGATTGTGCTGCTTGCGTGGTATGTCTGCAAAACCACAGTGGTGGTTCACAGTCATTTTATTTCTGCGAGTGTCTTAATGTGGATTTTTTTTTTAAAGATTCTGATATTTCCTTTCAACAATCCTCTGAAATGAATAGTTAGCTGTTCATCCATGTTCTGCAAAAAGAAAGTGGAGACAAATTTCCGGAGGAGTCTGTTTGCTCTGTGGCTTAGCGTATTCCCATTAATTGCAACTTTATGCAGGACCACTTACACATAATATCTCTATATACTGCATGTAGCTACTGCAGTGTAAGATTATTCACTCAAAATTTATACTACAGAAAAACTTTGTTTTCATATTCTGCTTGCTGAATATATGATCCTTTAGGGCGGCGTCCTTCCGAAATGCAGGCAGCCTTCCTGGATACAAAAAGAAGAAAGAGAATGATTATGAAATTAATCTGTTATTTTTTTTAATAGATTGATTTGTGTGCTGGTGTTACAAGTGCATCTCCTGAATATTTATCTAATGCAGGGTTTCTCAACCTTAGCATTTTTAGGATGTGTAGACTCCAACTCCCAAGCTGGCTGGGGAATTTTGGAAGGTGAAGCCCACACATCTTAAAGTTACTGAAATTGAGAAATACTATATATTCTGACTCATATTCCTGAGGAAGTGCTGTAAGGTTGCAGTGTAAAAAAAAAGATGGTTAGCAAGGCAAGCTGTGTCCTTTAAATTTCCTGCGAGCAATCTTATCAAATGGCAGTCTTCAAATGGTTCTAGGATATTCTTCTAATTTTTCTGGGAGTAAACTGCACTGCATCTCACTGCTTACATCAATTTCCTGTAATTCTGCACCAGATTTCCCTGTTTTCCCAAGGGAGTTAATGGGAAGGGGGTATTTAAGTGATCTAGCCAGATTTATCTAGAGTCAGACCTCTTGGTTTGACATTCAGGGCTGGTGAGTAGAAATCTGTTTATTTAAATCACAGAGCTGTTCTGATTCAAAAAGGTGTAGGTAGTGATTCTAGGAAAATTGAGGTTGCAAATGTAAGGCTATGGTGGGGTTTTTACCTGGTGAGATTTATTCAGATTGTCCATGGGTATGATTGTGTTGTTTGCTAAAGGTATAGATCCCTGAAGGCAAGAGCTTGACCCTGAGTCTGCTAAAGTGTTTGCTTTGAAGTTCATGATATCAACAGGTTTCCCTCTTTGAACTTGAGTGAAACACCAGTTATGCTTCAGTTTAACTGCTATGAAGCTGTCTGCTTCAGTTCTAAAGTGCCTCTGATGGGCCTTGCTCTTAACTTATTCAGAAAACTCATTAGACCAGATTGAAGCTTGTGAAAGATGCAGAGAGCACAACCAAGCTACAGTAAAGTCTACTTGATGTTAACCATGAACATTTCATATGAAGGCAGTTCCCTCCCTCCTTTGTTACCCCATTTTGGGAAGATGTCACTTGTGAATAAATCTTCAGATCTTAAATGTTCACACACACACACACACACACAACTTTTGAGTAGTCCTAATAAAGAAATTTTCTTCACATGTTTTATTTTTGTGGGCAACTCAGCTACTTTTGCTTAGAGTGGATGTTCTAGTTACATAGTTATACACACATGTTGATGCATGTGTACATTATCTTTCAAAAAATGCAGAAATTACCTTAATAAGAATTTAAGACGAGATTATTATAATTCTAACATTAGATTTAGGCCCTGCCCAAAATCAAGAAGATTCTGGCTAGATAATTTAATTTAAAATAAAGCAACAATACTATATAGAAAATACATGATACAAAATATGCATATAAGATCAGTATCTGACTGAACTATTATCTCTATCTATTTGTGTATCATTTATCATCTCTGTCATCTATCATCTACCATTTCCTCGCTAGCTAAATGCAATAGACTAAACAATGAAAAGACTTAGACATGTCTCAAAACATATACAGAAACACACACACCCCAGATATGGTCTATATGCCACATTTTTTTCATGCAACCTTGAAATACAGTGAAGGTATTTTATATAATAGAATCATAGCTAATCTGCTAGGAAGCTGTATTCTTATAATGATAGCAAAAATCAGAAGCAAAGCATAAGATATTGAAATTGTGAACCCTATTATAAGATTTTAGTGATTCAAATGAACTAGTGTATATCAGAAGCTCATCTGCCATATAACATTGAACTTAACCCAATGTTGTCTTTGGGCACAGACACAAAATAGAAAAAAAAACCTGGACGAATTGCACTGTATGGCCTGATTGTTATTCTGACTCCCAAGGCAGAAAATCCTGCAAATGCCCTCCACTCTATTATTAAAAGAATATGTTAAGTAACTAACATAAAAAATCAGCTGCCTAAAATGATCACCTCAATTTTTAAATGTTTTGGCAAACCTCATCTGTTATGTGTAAAATAATCAAGAACAGAGTCTGTGAACTTGCTATATTTTGAGCCCATTAGATAAAACAACTGCATAGCCAGAAAGCATCATCTGTGATACTTCATTGGACTGCATTCAGCTCTGTACTTATAAGCACCTCAGATATTCCTGGCGTCAGTCCAAGTTCTTTCCAGATATCCTGGCAGGTGGAATCAAACTGACGGTGCCTTTAGTCTTTAGCAGAGGTGTCAAACTCAATTTTATTGAGGGCTGCATCAGCATTGCAGTTGCCCTCGGGTGGGGGGGGGACTGGGTGGGTGTGGCCAGGGTGGGTGTGGATGGAGTGGGTGTGGCCTATTCAATGGGCATGGCCAGCTCTACATCGTTCGTGTCAAGAGTGCCTGTGGGGGCCTGGGCAGGAATGGGACAGATATGAGAGTCTTTGGCAGAAGGGGGTGGAACCGGGGCAAGTGCCAAGGCATGGTCCACTGGAGGAGCCTCACTGCCTGCTGAAACCCCTCCACTGGAGCCCATCAAGCCAGATATGTGAAGTAGGCAAGGGCCATTTGCTGGTCACTTCCAGGCGATGGTGCATTTCTTCATTCCTCACAAAGGGTGACACCACCCCAGCATGCACTCAGGGGGTGGAGACAATATGTCAGGGGCTGGTTCCTCACTGTTTCCAGACGGCCTTGTGGAGCTAAGACTGAATGTGTTTCAGCATAGATGGCCACCACAAAATTGTACATTGGCTCCCGGCTGGCTTGGGCCAGGGCCAAGGCAGTGGGGGCCATTCCCTCACTATTTCCAGGATGGCTTCATGGGCCACATGAAACCACTTCGTGGGCCGCATCCAGCCCCTGGGCCTTTTGTTTGACATATCTGGTCTATAGAAAGTCCTGGCCTCATGGTTTCTTGTCTATTTCAGACTGAAGGCAGCAGCCCCCTGTGGTCCAGAAGGAACAGCACTTATAGCAAGAGTTACTGCTCTGATCTCCAAAATGGTAAGGTTCATAGACCTTCACTCTCCAAGGGCTGCATTATGAGCATGAAAATGGAAATACTCAGCCGGATAGAATAATCCAGTAGCTGCTCTGGCAATATCTAGCAGTACATGGTAGACTTTGAAAAGAGAAACTCAGTCACATTAGATTGGAATATTTGTTAGCTAGTTTTCTCTTTAAAAGTGTCCAGAATTGAATATACAAACAGTATACAATAGTATACAACTATTTTATTTAATTTCTGGGATCAAATCCCATAAACAAAAATGGAAGGAACTGGGTATGCTTAGGTGGGAGAAGTCATACTTAAGAGACAGAATGATATCAGTTTTCAAATATATGAAATGTTGGTTATGTTTTTCTGCTTTCTAAAGCGTATCTTAAAGAATTCCTAATCAGTTGCTGATTCTTCTAATTATTGATCCTAGAACTGAAATACAAAGTTTTGGAGGATGTTAGAAAAACTGCTGCAAAGAGCAGGCTGACCATTGGCTTCACATAAACAGAAAATTGTTTCCTAAACATCAGTCAGATTTGCTCCAATATTCATTGGATCTTGTATGTCATCTCAATCACTAGAGTAATTCTAGGCAGTTGAAATGATCGGAAAGGGCATGTTTCCATGCATTAACAAAAGCTGGCAAATAGCTCGAAAGAGAGAAATAATGGATTCTCTTTTATTAATGGAGATGGCATACTTAAAGGAGCATGCATGACATCTGCAGTGGCTGGCTTAGACCGTCTCATGAAGTAGCATCAAACTTTGATTTGGTATCTCTTTCCACTAAGTGCTATTTTATCTTTCCCTCTCAGTCTACCTCTCAGAAGCAAGCACTACCCTCTCCAGCCTGGACTGTTTATCCAGCATAGTGGATAGAATCTCTTCCTCGGATCAGGAGGGGCTCTCCCCCGAGGACACTGCTCCCCTTTCTCCTATTGCCAGCCCTGAATCCCAGCCAGCCTCTCCTGAGGCCCCTCATTCTGACCTCATCTATCATGTACTTTGAACTGCCTGAGATTTGACACCAGCTGGGCCAACAATCGGGTCCTTCCGAGAATTCCCAGCATCAGCAAGGAAATGCTCCATTCGAATATGAAGCTCTTGGAATTCTGGTGGACCAAAAATATGCATACAAAGAAAAATAAAGTCACTTTATTTGTCCTCTCTCCTCTTTTTAGAAAGCAAATGAGATATTTAACCAAACTACTTTTTAATACTATGTACTGTAATTATATGTTGACTTTTAAATTGTATGACATCATATCTTAATTATCATAAAGAATAGAAGCCAAATATGTGGATGTAGATCCATGTTTTGAATTGCTATAAGAAAATACCAGATTAGTTAAATTATATTTCATAAAAGTACTTTTAATAAAAATACATTAGCTACATGATATCTTGTTTTTTATCTATCATATTATAACATGACAATATCTAAAAAAATAACCACCCTACTCTACAACTAGCCAGGACAAAATCAACTCTACAAGTAGCTAGGACAAAGCAGTATGGCTCCAAAGGCAGGTATTTGGCTTAGGTCAATGTGTTATGGTATCTCTGTTTATTATTTTACCACTAGGGGAAGATATTTAGAATGCTTGATTCAGGTTTCTAATTTTTTGGGCGATTACTGCTTTAGACCTACAGTATTGAAAAAGGCTTTTGGAAGATAGCAGCATCTTACATTTTTGTTACTCTCTTGTTCGTCTTCCACATCCAGGGTCTCTCAGCCAGTATTAAGTATTGAGATGCTTTGATGAGCCTCTGTCATTCTAAATATAGGAAATCAAAGGGGAAGGCAGTAAAGTTCTGGTTTTATTTTTATAGTTATGCTTTTGATAACAACAATAAAAAGCTTTGCTGAATATTTTTATGTGAATTTCTATTCAAGGTATGTAAAATGATCCTTGGCATTGGATTTGAATAAGTAATTCTTTAATGTGACATTTCCATTCTTTACATTCAGAAGACTCATAGCCTAACATTTCAAAAAACTTTTGATCTCTATGCAACTCAATGCCTGGAGTATGCTTTTATGTTTTGTGATGGATAGCTGTTCTTCAGAAGCCAGCTGAGCTAGCCTATGCCAAAAACTGGACATTATAGATACAAACACACATAAACTAAGTTGCACTTAGTTGTTCTAAGTTGTATTGAGCTGTTGATTCTGTGCAACACAATAAATGATGTTAACGTAGTATTATTTTAATTAAAGCTAGTGTTTGATAGAAGAAAAAGTAATTTGTATTTCAGTAATTATAATTATATGTCTTCTCATTCAAAACTCAAACCAAGCGTTTTCTCAAACTCATTACCATTCAAGGTGCCAAGTTTAAGAGGCTCTAGCTAGAGTAAGTTCTTTTGGTCAGCTCCTGCAAAATTTTTCTTGACTAAGAGAAGCTAATTGGATTTCCTAAGTTACCCTTGGCAACTTGTCATTTGTAAGCAGTCTTAGGAAACTCAGATAACTTCTCTTAGTCAACAAAAATTTTGCAGGATCTGACCAAAAGAACTTACTCTATCTAGAGTCTCTAAAACTTGGCATCTTTAAGAAGCACTGACCAATTTTCAGGATGGCTGGCTGGGGAATTCTGGGGATTGAAGTTCGCATATCTGAAAGTTGCCAAGTTTGAGAAATACTGCTCTAGCCTCTAATATATCCACTGTGGTTTTATTTCACTACTGTGATTGCAGATATATTGATGGACTTATGAGCTAGTTCCCCAACATAATGTATTATCTCTTTTTAAATTTTACTTCCTACCACTCAGTTAACCTGGGTTATAAAATAATATATACAGTATTTTCCTTCAATCATCTCATCATAAAGCATTCAACTATTTAAAAGGACATTCCCAGTTTGTATGGATTTCTTGTGTTTATCCTTATCAATTATTTGAAATACAGTACATGAAATAATGTCACCAGAATGCAGGTTGTGGAATTTGAGATTTAACTTACAGGAATGCGGGCATGAAACTGAAATGAGAAAAAAAACTTGCTAATATTAAGAGCAGTTTAATGTACAAAGGATTAGAGAAAAGATAGTCTCTCGCTATTTCAGACTGCACAGCTACCTACTGTGTTGTTTTAATTTGGATTGCTATACTGAGTAGGACATAGTGATTCAAATAATCTCTTCTGATGTTATGATTCTAAGGCAGTGGCATGTTGAAATTGGAAATTGGAAGGGCCTCTTTGAATGCAAATGATTAAGTATTGCAAGAAAGGCATATGCAAGCTTGGGATTCATCTACTCTAACCTTGAACAATCAGAAAAATTGTGAGTAGAATTCTAACTGAATTCTTTCAAAGCCTGATATGTGCGCATTTGGCAACGTAGGAATTGTTTGCATATTTCTTAGAGCAGTTATAAAAAAGTGTTTAACATTTGAAATTTGAGACCATGACAACAGTATTTTAATGAGTAGTTTTAGCTTAACTGTGTGACCAAAGCCTGCACCTGGAGATTCTAAAACAAAGCAAAACACAAAACATGTGAACAAATATTGGACAACTCAGATTGGTGGTGAATTAACTTAAATGATTAATAACAACTTAGTATGAAAGGCATTCATTAGAATAAACTATAAAGCAAAATTAATTTTCAATTTGTTCTTGTTTTTCTTTTCAAGTTGTAGAAGCAGCTGTATTTCACAAGACTGCATGCAGTTCTGAAAACATTTTTAATAACCTCCCATTATCTTGTTTAGCTATCAAAATGCATGTTTGGTATAATCATGACCCTAAAATATCACCAAAATGAACATAGTAAGATTTCAAAAATAAATTTAAAAAACCCCAATCATTTAAGTTGAAATGATTTATAAATATCGTTATCTTAATATATAGATTCAAGAGCTTCATATTATAATGGTAGCAAAGGTATGGAGACAGAGAATGCCTTAGAGAATCAACTCTTCAAACGTACTCTGGCAGGAAGAGACAAAACTAATTTGGTATTAAAGCCTTGATAATGAAGCTGTAGTGCAGGAAATGATTACAGATTTGCGAAGTATGATCTATGTTAAAACTGTAGCCAAAGCACATATTTAATATTTTTGCAAATATTTATATACTCCTCCACTGTATCCCAAGGGGCTTGTATGACTTACAAAAAATTCTGATCTATAAAATTCAGTCTAACAATGCGAACTTAAAAACTAGCAATATAGACACAAAGGCTTGGATAGCAAGATAACAAACCTATGTTTGTTGTTTTGTTTCCTCTTTGTTTTAACATTGTCTGATTAAGTGTGCTGCATAACTCTGAAGCTTGTTCAATATTTATGCCATTTTAGTTTGTGCTAATAATATATTGCTCCAACAGGATGTTACTGGTTCACTTAGAAGTTACATGATACACTAAGTTAAAAGTTCACTAAAAGTCTTCATGTAAACCCAGCCATTTTCTCGATATGGTAAATAGCTAGCAATGTTTAAGACTGCAGATCCCTGTCTTGAAACACCTGGAGAATATTACACTGAAGACTAACATATTTATAGAATGAAATAAGTACAGAAAAGAAGTTATCAATTTTAAGGCAAAGCTGGAATTTTTGGCAGATAGTTGCGTCTACCTTTTTAAAAATGAATTAGATCATTAAATTTATACAAGAGAACATCTGCTGGAAAAATCTGGTATTACAGTTTATTGCCAAGGGAATGGCAAAAATAAATGAAGAACCTGTGTATCTTTGGGTTAATAAGCATTAACCCAGCCTGAAACATATTCTAAATTTTCATTTCTACAATTTCAAAGAGAAACAGAAATGCATAAATTCAATTCTTAAATTGAATTTAAGTTTTATTAATAAAATGCTGTCTTCCAATTTTGTTTTCGATATTATTTTGAGGGCATTTCGAATCTCTCAACAATTTTGGGATTTTATGCTCATTTGATTTGTATGAGAAGATGGAGGAACTATTGTTTTCTCTCTAGATCTCTGAAGCCCTCCCACAATGCCTGTCAGAGGCATTCTCAAAGAGAGGATCAAAAAAGTCAAGATGGTATATGCCATGGGTCCCCAACCCTCAGTCCTTGGACCGGTACCGGGCCATGGCATGCCAGCAACTGGGCCATACAAACAAACAAAGCCCCATCTGTGGATGCAGGCAGCACACAAAACTATGCACTCTCTAGTCCATGGAAAAACCTCTCCCCACGGAACTGGTCCCTGGTGCCCAAAAGGTTGGGTACCTCTGGCATACGCCACACATTTTAAAATAGGAAAGCTTCTGTCATGTCTTTGTGGCTACCATAGTGACTTTTTTGAATACTGCCCTCTGGTGCCTGTTCTTGCTACTCATCTTCCCTGATTTAAACAAACAAACAAATAAATACATTTATATGCCACCCATCTCACTGTTAAAGTGACTTTCAGCAACTTGCCAAAGCTTACCAAAAAGGCAATATAAAAGCAGTTAAAATTAATAAGGATTAAATAGAAATTAAAAACCAAAAATCCTTCTGCTTTTAAAGGGAGCCAGGAAGGCTGTAGTTCAGCAGAGAGTTGACTGAGACAAAATGAAGGACACAATAGCCACATCTATCTATCATCATGTAAATACATTTTATTTATGAATTGTATTCTACATTTTTTAAAAAAAGAAACATGGAACTAAGAACTCTAAAATGAAACAAATAAGGAATTGTTAGTATATCTCTATAATTTAAAAAGCAACAACTGCCATGTAGATAAAAATACAATATTATTTTAATGTACTAATTGTATACACCAATGTGGATGAGCATGATTACCATGAAGAGGTAAGAGAATTTTGCAGTGACCAAATATGGCTTGTTTTTAAATTATAGCTGAATGGATGGAAGGACTAACCTGTCATTTACTTTTAAAGGAACAACTTATCTTTATCTCTTCTGGCACACATAATGATACATTAATATGTTTTAATTACATATTTGCCTACAAGGTCTATGTTCTGAAAAGATTGATAGAGCTCAAATCTTGCTGTGGGCTTTCAACATTCTGAAGCATTTGTCTGTTAATGTGGGCAATTCCACTGAGCATCCCTCCCAAGTCATCCAGCAACAGGAAGGGAAGCAAAGTCAGAAGATTTGTGGCTTCAGGACAAGAGTCAAGTCTGCATTTTTTTTGAGAAAGAGAGAGAAAGGGAGGGAGGGAGGGAGGGAGGGAGGGAGGGAGAGAGAGAGAGAGAGAGAGAGAGAGAGAGAGAGAGAGAGAGAGAGAGAGAGAGAGAACATTGCTTCAAGTTGAGATTAGCATTGCTTCAAGTTGAGATTTTTAAGACACAAACTTCAGTTCTCAGTTAAAAATGGTTAAATTTGCACATGATAGAAAAATAAAAATGGTTTATAATTTATAATTCTATAATATTTAAAGAAAAAATCCAACCATTGATAAACAAAATACTTCAATTATAGATATCGAGGAGACAGACAATACGCAGGGTTGATTGCATTAATTTTAAAGTGCTATTTTCTATTGGAACACCAGATAGCATTCCTAGTTTTTTATCAGGTAATGATATTTTACAGGGTGCTTTTATTCTGCCTGCTAAATGATTCTTATTAAAAAGATAATATATTTTTAAAGACATTTAGTTAATTAAAAAAATATTTAATTTATTTAATTTATTAACTATCCAAAATAAATGTACACCATGATAAGTCATAAGTAAAAGATGGAAACTTTTCATTTATTACTGTTATTTTAAACCCACATTCCATTGCATCACATAAATAGTTGTAGGAATTAAATAAGAGTTTTATAAATATATTTGTTATTAATACAATCAACCCTCAGAATCCAAATCAACCATAGAGCCAACAGGAGACAATACCAACATACAATCAATCCATGCAAGCTCCCTCTCTCCCCCTCAACAGTTCACGACCTTGACCTGATGTAATCTCCCCATCACAAGACCCGTCACCAGTGTAATGTACTGAGGTGAATTACTTGGATATGTTGAAAAAACAGTCATAAAACTCTGTCAGTTAAGAGCCAGACTTTCTGTCCACATGCTAATTACTTGTGTTAAAAACGGGAACTAATACTTGAATCCTATTGGCCGCTGCCTAGTTGCTGAGTGTATAAATAGGGGTGGAGCTGCAGTTCAATCC